AATTTGTTGCAAATTCTAGTCAGATATCACAATTAGGTAGTGCATGAGAGTGATTTAAGCAAAGTTGTGGGTGGAATTGCCCCGGTTCACCCATCTAGCTTAGGATTATGATTGTCTATATTACTGTTCATTTATATTAAAATTAAGCATGTGACTGTAAGCCTGCGTGCGTGTGTGTGTATGTTGTGTGTGTGTGTATGTGTGTGTGTGTGTGTGTGTGTGTGTGTATGTATGTGTGTGTGTGTGTGTGTGTATGTGTGTTAGTGGTGAAACACCAAACCAACGTGCCAGAATCTGGTCAATAAAGAAGTACATCTTATCTGTTATCTTATCTTACAAGTTAACATGCAGCAGCAGGGCCTCAGTTACAGACAAAGTTTGAAAGCGCCTTCTGTTACAACGTTTTTCAAATAAGACAAAGAATTTATTCCGACTTTATCATCAGAATCATTATCATATCAGCCTTTCTCATCCGTTATCGGAGTAAAATAAAGTAAAGTTGTTCTCGCATCCGAACCAAACATTGAGGATTGCCTTGTTGTTCGTGAGACAACTTCCTAAGCTGGGCCTTCGACATATTGTGGTAGGGTGGCCGTTCCTTCCCACGCCACCTTTTCTTCCCCAACTAGAAGTCAGGTACCCATTACTGCTGGGTGGGCAGGAGGGGGTAAAAAAAATCCATGTCCGGACTGAGGCTCGAACACGGACCTTCCGTTTCAGAGATGAGCGCACTAACAGCTCCGCCACCGCACCATTCATCGGAGTAAAATCCATATATAGGAGCACTCCATGATGTACTTTGCCAGTCCTGGGCTATAAATTCCATCTCGAACCGGATCTCATCTCCTTAAAGATCGGAATCTATAATTTATGTCCCTCCTCCACATATTCTCAGGCCTTGATCAACTCCTACTTCAAAAACATGTGAGTCGTCTGCTGTTAATCCTATATATTATTATAAGGGATATATGGCGTTTTGGCAGAAGTGACCCTGTTAGATTTCATTGTGCCTCTCTTTTCCCTTTTGAGATACAACTAAAAAAAAATCCAACCAAAACCACTAAGCCCCCCCCCAAACACACACAGCACACTACTCTCACACACAAGTGAAATTAAGAGAGGGAAGAATCAACAAATCAATAAATAAAAAAAATCAAATCAAATCAACTATGAGACCCTCAACAATTTACCAATTCAGACCCAGCCCTCTTTCCTTTAATAGGCTACACACACACACACATACACACACACACACATAGTCATACACACACACACTACACACACACACACTCAGAGAGACATATACGGACAGACAGACAGACAGACAGACAGACAGACGGACATAACATATTAAATGGAGGTATGACATGTTTTTACGTAAAGCTGTGTTACCGGTCCACAAAATAGTTTTAAAATGCTTCATTGTTGTTATAATTTCCATGGCAACTGATTCTGGGGGGACCCCGTCCTTCCATGACGAGGGGTTTACGTTAAGGAATGGAAATACATTGTAATCACAAAACCTTTGAAGCTGTTTTGTTTAAGCAGTGAAAGTGAAAAAGTAAAACAAATCCCTACCTTCTGGTACTAGATCTACTTGTAAAATTTAACAATGCTTGATCTCCTCCGAGTATTGTAAGTCGTGGAATTTTGTTTTCTTTGATAAATATAAGAGTGGTTTCCCCTGAATAAGTTATTTTTAAAAACTGGAAAAATAAAACTTGCGACAAAATCAATTAGTTTTTATATACATTCTTGTATTCAGTTTGCTTTTTTTATTCCAAAATGTAATTATTAATAATTACAAATAAAATGCATTATTTTTTTGCTATAAAATCCTGCATTGTAGTTCTTCGATCATCTAAAAGAGTGAAACAATATAAGCGCACGGAAAAAATGATGTAACTTTTGTATGAGCTGCTATCCAAAACGAGGCACGCCGCTTGAATTTGAAGTGCGAAACTTATTCCATGCTAAAGAGGAAGTGCGTACCACTGTGCTGTAAACAAACCAGACCGAACAGAGTGATCAACACTCAGCTGAATAATGTATTATTTGAAGGATCAAGACATCAATTAAACAAATAACCTATCGTGCATATTTCTCTCTGGAGACTTTTTAGTGCAGACAGGTAATCTTCCTTTTTTTAAAAAGAAAAATTCTTGATGTGTTCGAACTTGATGAGTGTCGACGTCGACGTCGACGTCGTGTCGAGGACTGATCTGTTGTGCTGAGTTATTGTTGAGCAGCCAGCGAGTTGCTTTTCAATTTCAAATCTCTAGAATCTAGATTCTAGATCTAAAAATCTAGTTCTAATGTCTAGATCTAGACTCTAGATCTAATATGATCTAGACTCTAGATCTAATATCTAGATCTAGGAGTACGTGCCTAGATTAGACTCTAGTAGGAGGGGAAGATTGAAATTGAAGAAACATCGAGGGGGGGGGGGG